TATATAAGTTAAACTAGATGACTAAACAAAAAAATAGGAGAATCAGGGGTTCAAATGATGCAACTAAAAAAAACTTAACGGACCAAAAAAAATCAGAGAAACAGCTTTTACGATTTGAAAATTAAACAGAAGGGAACAAACGAACAGAAACAATTTAAACTCAGAAAATTGGTCGAGCTTTCAGACAGAGTAAAAAAAATCTAACTAAAGAGAGGAAGAGGAAAAGAAGATGAAACAAACAAAAGATGAAAACACTTACCAAATCAGAAATCAAAGACCCATCAGAGACATTGAATTAACAAAACTAATGTCGATCATTTGTTCTTTGTCAAGAACAACTGAACGACATCAGTTTTTCTTGAATCAAAACTTCAAAACTCGAAAGAAACAGCACCCTATGATCATGCATGCCACTGGGTTTGATGGAAAATAATTTTAGACTTTTAGGGTTCGAATTCAGATTTAAGATTCGAGAAGTTCTGGACATATTTAAGGGAAAACAATTAGAGATTTGGTATGAGGGAGTTATGGAGGTTCTATGGTGTGAATTTGGGGTCGATTGGGGCTGGCGCCGCCGGCTGGAGACGGTGGAAAGTTAGGGCGGCGCTAGGGTTTGGTGGGGTGTTCTCTGAACTGGGGAAGATGAGAGACGATGAGGGGGGGACGGGGTCTTGTTCGGACATATATATGTCAAATGACCCCAGCTTCCCCACCGTTGGATCTTGGAACCTCGACGGCCCAGATTGAACTCAAATTAAACGGGGTCGTTTTGATGAGAAGGGGGCTGAACCGGGTAGGAACGGGTATGGGCCGGGTATTTGGGTGGTTTTGGATGGGTATTTGGTGGGTTGGCCTAAAATTGGGTCTTTTATTAGAACTCTCTTTTTTATTTCATTTTTTTCATGTTCAGATTTTGTTATTTATAATTACCAATTAAAAGGTAAAATCTAACTAAATTTCAAAACTAAATTAATAGACTAATTGCTTCTCCAAAATTAACTAGATCCTAAATTAAGAGAAAACTATAAAAATTCAAAAGCTAAAATGCAAAATGAACTATTTTTGTCATTTTCTTTCATTTTTTATAACATTAATTAACTAGTTAGCCTAAAATATAAAATAGGACCCTAAATTCTAATGCAACCTATTTTTGTATTTTTATACATTAAATAAATTAAACATGAACACAAAAATGCAAACAAACACAAAATCATGCAATAATTCCTAAAATCAAATACTTAAAAGAAAAATCCTAATTTTGGGAATTCTATGGGAGTAATTCATGCGAGGCAAAAATCACGTGCTCACAGAGGCTAGGCTATTGGGGACAGATTTGGTTCAGGATGCCTTAGAGAAGGTGAAGGTGATTCAGGAGAGGCTTCGTACAACGTAGTCACGACAGAAGATTTATGCGGACCGGAAGGTCCGAGATGTGTCCTACATGGTTGGTAAGAAGGTCTGCTGAAGGTTTTGCCCATGAAGGGTGTTATGAGATTTGGGAAGAAAGGAAAGTTGAGTCTGCGGTCGATTGGGCCTTTTGAGGTACTTCGGAGGATCGGGTAGGTGGTTATGAGCTTGTTTTGCCACTCATCTTGTCGAGTGTGCATCCGGTATTTCATGTTTCTATGCTCCGGAAGTATATTGGGGATCCATCTCATGTTTTGGACTTCAGCACGGTTCAATTGGATGATGATTTAACCTATGATGTGGAGCCAATAGCTATTTTGGGTCGTCAGGTTCGGAAGTTGAGGTCAAAGGATATAGCTTCAGTGAAAGTGCAGTGGAGAGGTCGGCCGTAGAGGAGGCTACCTGGGAGACCGAGCGGGAGATGCGGAGCAGATATCCTCACCTATTCGAGGTTTCAGGTATGTTTCTTAACTCATTCGAGGACGAACGTTTATTTAAGTTGGGGAGGATGTGACGACCCGGCCAGTCGTCTCATGAGTTACCGCTCCATTTTCCCCCATTTCTGCTTCTTTATGCTTCGTTATTCATGTTTTAGGTGATCGGGTTGATTAGAATGAGTTCGGAGAGGATTTGGTAAGAAATGAGACACTTAGTCTCTTTTAAGAAGGTTTAAGTTGGAAAAGTCAATTGTGTGTTGAATTATGTGTTAGAGGGCTCGGATGTGAGTTTTGATGGTTCGTTTAGCTTCGGGAGGTGATTTATGACTTTGGAGTGTGATCGGAATTGGTTTCGGAGGTCTGGTGTAGAATTAGGCTTGAATTGACGAAGTTAGTATTTTGGCGATTTCCGGTTGGTAGGTGAGATTTTGATCCGAGGGTCGGAATCGAATTTTGAGAGTTGCAATAGCTTCGTTGTGTCATTTGGGATGTGTGTGCAAAATTCAGGTCATTCGGACGTGGTTTGGTTGGGTTTTCAATCAAAAATGTATTATCGGAAGATTTCTCAAAAACTAGGCTTGAATCCGATGTGTTTCGGGTAATTTGATGTTGTTTGAGGTGATTTGATCATTGGAAAAAGTTTGAATAAGGTATTGGGACATGTTGGTGCTTTTGGTTGAGGTCCCGGGGGCCTCAGGGTGAATTCAGATGGTTAACGGGAAGATTTTGGACTTAAGAGATCTCAGAAGTTGCTGCTTCTGGTATTTCCGCACCTGCGGATTGGGGACAGCAGGTGTGGTTCCGCACATGCAGAAAAAGAGCCACAGAAGCGGTTTGGGAAGAATAGCCAGGGACCGCAGATGCGGCATATGTACCGCACCTGCGGAGTCGCAGATGCGGCTCGTGGACTGCAGATGCGAAACCTGGCCCCCTAAGTGATTTTCGTAGATATGGAGGAATTACTGTAAAAGCGGTACTGTAGGAGCGGTAGTGGGATCGCAGATGCGAAAACCCCTGAGCAAAAAGTTTATAAGTAATTTTATCTGCAATTTTGAGCCATTTTTCCTCCATAGTTGAGTATTTTGAGAGCTTTGTGAAGGTGATTAAAGAAGGATTTAAGGAGAATTGATAGGAGGTAAGATTTTCGAACCTAAAACTCGAATCTATTGTGAAATTAACCTAGAAATTCTTGGAACTTAAGCTAAAAATGGAAGAACTAGGGCTTGTGATTTTGAACTTTTGAATTGGGATTTGAAGGACCATTTGAGATCGGAATTGAGAACTTTTGGTATGTATGAACTCGTGGGGTGATAAGGAATCTAAAGATGTGAAAATTTCCGAGTTTTGAGAAGTGGGCCCGGGGCTCGGATTTTGCTAATTTCAGGATTTTCGATATTTTTCGATTGTTTTCGCTTGGGTTTTGTTCCCTTAGCATATTGTAATGTATTCGTTCTGATTTTGGATAGATTTGACGTGCGTGGAGGCCGATTCGAGGGGCAAAGGCATCGCGAGCTAGAGTTGTAGCCGGTTCGAGGTGAGTAATGATTGTAAATGATGTCCTGAGGGTTGGAAACCCCGGATAGCACATTGTAGTGCTATATTGAGGTGAGACACGCGCTGGATGATGAGTGTGGGGTCTTTAATTACTGGGGATTGCGACTTGGTCCGTCCCGATCGATGATTTTACCACATATTTGACAGAAACTTATTTGTTATCATCATGATTTGGGCTGATTGCCATATATGGGTTTTGTGCCAACTATTTGAATCCTTCGGGGATTTTTATCACTGTTTCCTCACTGTTTTGACTTATAATTTGAACTCAGTCCTGTTGGTATCTACTATTTTACGAACTCAGCCACCTTTACTCAGATCTGAAACTTAAATGATATTTCTAAATGATGTTTTGGGCTGAGAACTACTGTTTTACGAATGCCCGAGGGGCTTGTGATGATTTTCGGACTGAGTGAGGCCGAGGGCCATATATGAGGATATGCTGAGTGATATGAGGCTGAGGTCCTGAGATACTTTATATTCCACGGGGTGACTTGAGTGATGTGAGGCCGAGTGCCGGGTGATATGAGGCCGAGTGCCGAGAGATGATACCACGAGGTTGCTTGATATAGCGCTTGGGCCGTAAGGGGCCCCTCCGGAGTCTGCACACCCACAGTGAGCGCGGGTACCCATCATGATCTGAGAGTGAGCCCGAGGGGCTGATACTGTACTGAGCGTGAGCCTGAGGGGCTGATACTGTTCTGAGCGATTGTTACTATGCCCGAGGGGCGTATTTCTACTTGTTATTTACCTGCTAAATTACCTGTTTTACTTAGTTTAAAGGAATTTCATTTGACTTCTTCATGGATTTACTGCTTTAAATGATCTTACTGCTTGATATAGAATTTTTTTGTGCCTTTACGTATTTTCTTGCTTTCAGCCATTATTTATGATTATTACTCACGGAGTCAGAGTACTCACATTACTCCCTGCACCGTGTGTGCAGATTCAGGCATCACAGAGTCCGCTCCTGAGTGCTGATCCTCCCAGTCCAGGCAGTGTTTTTGGAGACTACGTGGTAGCTGTTGGCGTCCGCAGCCCCCGTGCCTCCCTTATCTTACTATTTTTATGTTCTTGAACTTCTGTATCAGATTTCGTATCTAGTAGACTGATATCCGAATTTATTAGTTGCTCATGACTTGTGACACCCTAGTTAGGGCTGTGTCGGGATGGTTTCTACTATTATTATCGTTATTTCCGCAAATTATGGCTATTATATCTTGTTTTAGAACTATTTATGGTATTTATTTATTTAAGTGAGGTGTTCTCTTTTGGTCTGGCTGGCCTTGTCTTCACGAGAGGCGCCATCACGACCGGGTTCGGGGTTAGGGTCTTGACACATGTTTGATCTATATCTATCCCCCATCGTATCAGACTGTCTTTGGTAGCTAGCCTCTGATGTATTGCTAGCTTCTATATGAATATCCATTTTGGTTGTCCTTGTTTATTGCACACTTGTTTCCTCCATGTTACTTTTTGAAATACACCTTGTAGTGATCTGTAAATTCCCCTGATTGGGCATTTCTCCATTAGCTGGACATCATCTTCATTCATTCCAGCCTTAGTAAAATACTCCTTAGCTTGAAATATCTTCTGAATTGCCTAGGAAGCATTCTTTGGTTCTACACTCCACACTGCTTGGCCTTTGACATAGTAAGTGTGTACCCAATGAACCCATAGCTTCTCCTTTCTAGTACATATATTCCATAGCAGTTTGCAGATAGCAGCTTCATTCCATAATGCCACATCTATGAAGTTCAATCCCCCTGCAACCTTAGGTGAGCAAAGTCTTTCCCAAGCTATCAAGGCCTTCTTTGTTGGTTCAGCATCTCCTGTCCACAGAAGCCTTCTACAAATGGTCTCTATGAATTGTATAACCTTCTTAGGCAGTATAAAGATCTGTGCCCAGAATGTTTGGATGGCAAACAACACACTCTTTACTTGGACTGCTCTACCTGCATATGATAAATACTTTGTTGTCCAGTTCTGAATTCTGTGCAATATTTTCTCAATTAGTGGTTTACATTGTATAGCTGATAGTCTCTTAGTACTCAATGGAACTCCTAGATATCTGAAAGGCAATTCTCCCTTTTTTATATCCAAGAATATCCATAATTTGTTGTTGAGTCAACTGATTTACCCCTCCAAAATAGATGCAACTCTTGTTTGGATTAGCAACCACTCCTGATGCTACAGAGAATTTCTGAAAATGCTGATGCAGTATCTGCACAGATTGCACATCCCTCTAAAAAACAGTAGTAAATCATCCACAAACCCCAGTTGCACTATGTTAAACTTGGCACACCTGGGATGATATTTAAACTTCTTGTCTTCCTTCAAAGTCTTCAATGACCTGCTCAGGTATTCCATAGCTAAAACAAATAAGAATGGTGAGAGAGGATCCCCCTGCCTGAGCCCCTTTTTTGCCTCAAAAGGATCTATTGTTCTGCTGTTTATTAGAACTGAATAAGTCACTGTACTGATGCAAGCCATTATCTATCTCACAAATATTTCTGGAAAATTCAGTGACCTTAACACTTGTTCTATGTAACTCCACTCCACAGAGTCATATGTTGTTTGCATGTCAATCTTAAGCATACATCTAGGGGAGATACTCTTCCTTCTATAACCTTTCACTAGCTCATGACTCATCAAAATGTTATCTGTAATCAGCCTTCTAGGAACAAAAACAGCTTGACAGTTATCCACCAGTCTATCCATTACTCCTTGCATTCTTGTGGTTATCACTTTAGAGATGAGCTTGTATAAAACTGTACAACATGAAATAGGTCTGAAGTCTCTTATGTTTGTTGGATTCTGGATTTTTGGAATCAGTGTGATTGTTGTGCAGTTAATGGCTTTACACATGTCAGCATTCTCAAAGAAGTCTTGAACTGCTGCAGTTATTTCCTCTCCCACAATATGCCATGTCTTTTTAAAGAAGTAGGAGTTATATCCATCACACCCTGGTGCCTTGTTGTCATTAATGCCCAATAAAGCTTGCTTCACTTCTTCCCTACTGACTGGTCTGATTAACTGTAGTTGTTGACTCATGTTCAACACATTGCCATTCTTCATTATGTCATAGTTGATCATTGGTAGTTGTGTAGCTGAACTACCAAGTAGTCCCCTATCAAAATTTAGAATTTCTGCCTTCACCTCTTCAGGACTTTGCATTATATCCCCATTACTGTCAGTTAGCCTGCCAATGTTATTCCTTGCTTGTCTATTTTTCATACAAGCATGATAAAAAACTGTATTAAAATCTCCCAAATTAAGCCACTGTACTCTGGACTTCTGTTTCATAATACTCTCCTCCACCATTATCCATTTCTCCAGCTCCAATTTTGTAGTTCTTTCCAGTTCAATCTGCATTTCTCCTTAATCAAGACATCTCATTTGGTTCTGTATACTTTCTAATCTTTCTCTAGCCTCCTGTATCTTACTATCAATGCTATTGAACTTCTCTTTATTCATCTGCTTAAGTGGACCTTTTAATTTCTTAAGTTTGTTCCAAACTGTCAACATTGTTTGTCTGTTCTTCCCAAGCTCCCATCCCCTCTGCATTGTACCTTCAAAAAACTGCAAGTTTACTAGGCAATTCAAGAACTTGAAAGGTTTCCCTCCAGCTTGGCCACTTGTATCAAACTTTACGCTTAGAGGGCAATGATCAGAGAATCCAGGATTCATAGATATCCCCTCCATGTTAGGCCACATTTGTATCCATTCAGCATTTACCAAAATTCTATCAATTTTACTGTGCACATGGTTATTAGTCCACGTGTATTTTCTCCCTACTATCTTCAATTCATTTACTTTAGCATCCACTAAGAATTGTTTAAATTCCCTTGTCTCCATCTCCTGTACATGATTTCTATTGATTCTATCTTCACTAGTTAGAATTGCATTAAAGTTCTCCATTATAAGGCAGGGACTCCTTATATTGACCACTGATATTAGCATCTCCTCCCATAGATTCTTCCTGTCATGTACTGTATGCTTACCATAGACAGCACATAAGTGAAACTGGACATTCTGCTGCATTAATGTTACTTTCCCCAAAATAAATTGTTCATGATGTCTAATAATTGCATAGTCCACCAATGTAGAATCGTGTACGTTATTTAGTACATCTTTTGTGAAAATTTGTTGCAATATTAAGGAAGGGAGCCTTCAATATTTATGAAAAAAATTGTGCTACTTGCTTGCTCGAGAAGTCAAGGCACTGATACATATGTGGGTACTTGCATTAGAATGATTTCTTTTTATATCGTTATTCTTTTAAAATCTTTTTTTATTTTGTTTTTGGAGAATAAAAATCTGTTGGGAATAAACCCCGTAAAAATAATATTCACGGTATTAGTAATAAATGCAGAACACTAAGTTATGGTTAAATCAGCAAGAATAGAAATGCAGCAATAATGACACCAAGATTTTACGTGGAAACCCTTCTAAATAAGGGAAAAAACCACAGCCAAGAAGAGCAACTTATATCATTATAGCGGAGAATTTTACACTGTCTAGTAACGAGTACAAATACTCCTAAGACCACTACACCCTCAAAAGAAAAAATACTCTTTTGCTTTTTCTATCTCACTACAATATCTCTCACGCTCTATTTTTCTTCACAGACTATTTTCTTATAGTCTGTGGAATACCTTGCTCTCTCTCACTTTGATGTATTGTCTGAGATTTTGGTGTGTTAGAAATGAGAGCCGAAGATCTCCTTTTATAGGCAAAACATCGCCTACTACACTTGACATTTTCCTTCTGCATGCCTACCATATTTGACAATGCAGAAACGATGGCTACCAATTTCAAAGAAAGAGACTTAGAAGTCTTTATCAAAGCCTTAAATCATGGGATGGACCCCACAAAATCGAGAGAGGAGACATGTTAATTGAGCACACACATTTATGATAATATACATTATTGTCACTTCTATCTAGGGGTAGCAAATTGGCGGGTCAGATATGAGCAGGTCAAAACGGATAATTGAAAAACCGGATAAGTTATCCGACCCGACCCAACCGTATTTAAGACTGATAAAAGGGTTTATCCTGTGGATAATATGGATATCCATAATATCCATGACTTCTTAAATATGATCACTTATGAGCGAATTCCTTATCTTCCAAACTTGAGGAACTTCAATTTGAGGCTTTACAAATATAAAAATTAAACACATTAGTTATCCATTTGGTTAACCATTTTCTAAGTGGATAATATGGTTCTTTTTCCATATTCGATCCGTTTTTAAATGATTTATTATCCAACCAACTTTTTGATGAATAATATGGGTGGATAACTATTTTTTTAAACCATTTTGCCACCTCTACTTCTATCAAATTGGACATCGTTGGCTGATGTTTTGGTTAGCATTCTATAACAGCATACGACCTTTTATAGTTATTACCTTAGACACCAAGAAAGAGTTCCACATAATTCTTTATTTCTATCCTAGTTAATCCTGATTTGATATTAGGATTATATCGAGTTTCCCCCAATAATCGAAGATATTTCTACAAATATTGAGTATTTGATTCCATTAGTATCTGTAATGGAATATATTGTTTCCTTTGTCAAGATCCTTGTAGCATTTTTTCCCTTGTTTGTTTTCATTTTTTTAGTGAAAATGGACAGACAAGGACGAAAATGGAAACTACTCCTTTGGTTACCAGAATGAGACAGACAAGAATATCCAACTTTTTATATGGAATAGCTAATCCCGCTATTTTAATACAAAAATAATTTTCAAAATTAATTAATACCCTTAACCAAACAGGAAATAAAATACACTAATATTTTATTTTGGAATTGTTATCCTTTATCCCGCCAACCAAATGTTTCCTAATTTCATCTGTAGTGGGAAATTGCCGAATACAAATGGGAGAGAAAACTATAAAATTGTCTCTTGAGGAAACAACCATTTAGGGTAGGGAGTAGGGACATTTGCAATATGGATAAGAAATTTCCGACATGCGACTAAATATAAGTCGAGAAAGGAAATGAGCCTTCCAAATTGATGTAGCATCAAAAGTCATATGCAATAAAATGGTGGTATTTAGCTAAGAACAATGCGATGATGCCTAGTGCATCATATCAATAGGTCAAGTTAAATTATTGATTTATTTTTGAGTGAAGCAAGCAATAAATCAGGATTTTTACGAGACATGAAATAATTTTGGTGTGACACAATTGAAAGAAATCTGCTATAAAGAAGTAGATACAAAAAGAGGTACCTCATCCTGAGAATAAAATAAAGCCCAAATTTCAAAAGATCTTGGCACCTCGTATTGACCAAAATTTGAATTAGCGTTTGGACATAAATTTGTTTGAAACTTGAAAAAAAGAGTTTTAATTTTGTGTTTGAACATGTATTTTACTTGAAAAAATATTGAGCTTTTATCATTGAAAGAAAAAATTTCACCCAAAAGCTGGTCCACTAGATTTTGAAACTTGAAAATATATATTCAATCTTTCTATGACCAAACGGGAGCTAAGAATCCCATTAAACTCTTTATTCTCTTTTTATTTTTCTCAATCTTTCTCATTACAATAATTTTTTTCTATATTATTATTATTTCACTATTTTTATTTAGGGGAAGAGGGAGTTAAATGAGATTTGAGCAGTTAGTTGCGGGCGAACGGCACAAATAGCCACTAAAAGTTGTGGCTTTTATTTTAAAGCCACTATTTTCAATGTATTTAGACTTTAGCCACTCCTTTTAAAAGGCTTATACCTGACTGGACGAAAATACCCTTCTGGTATTACTTATACCTACGCTATCAACACAAGCAGCAGTAACACAAAGAGAAGAAGCGAGAAACAGCAGCAACGGCGATCAACTGAGGACGAACCACCATTTCTCTTCCCGATTTCAAAAATTCAGCAATCTAATCCAAAAAAAACAACATAGATAAACAGTAAGTTGTAATTTCATGTGTTTCTATCAATTTTTATTTCGCTATAGTTATACTTTTTTAGATCTGTATTGTTTTGATTATATATTAGATAAGAATTTGATTTTTTTTGAATTTCTGGATTGATAAATTTATAGACACCGCCTCCTATGATAATTCTGTATTCCGGACATAGTGTCTTCATTTTGGAAATTGAATTCAAAAAAATAAGAACACTATGTCCTTAACTTTGATTCTACTGGCCTCATTTTGCAAATTGAATAAAAAAACTTAAGGACAAAATGTCCTTCACTTTGTTGTTGTTCTTCTGTATACAAAGTCCTGTAGCTTGAGTTTCAAATTGTATGTTTTAATTTCTGGTTCAAATGTTAAGGACAGACAGTCCTTAACTCTTAAATACTTGTTTAAATGTTAAGGACTAGCAGTCCTTAACTTTTAATTCCATGTTTAAATGTTAAAGGACAGGCAGTCCTTAGCTTTTAATTTCTGGTTCAAAAGTTAAGGACT